CAAACAATAAACATTAATATACAATTTCAAAATATACATTTCCCGAGGACTAAGTTCCAGTCTACTTTGCGTTGACTTGCCGAATCGCAGCAAGTCGGATGCCAAAATATCGTATTAAAAAACAACTTAAACAAAAGATTTCGAATGCGAAACTGGGAAATGGATAATGCAAAATATTGTCATCACGTGAAATGTTATCAGATGACATAGGGGCTCAAGGTGACATTGGGGAAAAAAAACTTTTGTATGTCATCCTGACGCAAGTTTCCTGCTCTTTTTTGCTTGAGCCTTGAGATGGTACAAGACGACCTTGAATGAATTGGTAAATAAATGCATACAGCCAGATTACATAACGCTGTGCTGTGAGTGCAACCAGGTAGGTGAGACCGATGCAAAATGCAGTCTTCAGCAAAAAGAAAACAATACACATGACATCATAACAAATGATTATGGTTCTCTTCCCTATCCCTTCTAGAACCAATATGTCATCCACAACCCTCGGAAATGCCTCCATTGCATCCGGAGGGAGCGTGGAGCTGTCGTAGTAGGGAATCGGCATGCCCGAGATGGGTCGTGGAGAGATGAATGGCAAATCTTCTGTACCGCCGTCAAGATGTCGGTCCGACAGACGTACCGTTCGGGGGCGCAGTTTGCCTGAGCGCTCCGATACCAACGAGGCTGGTCGATCTCGCACAATTCTGCCCGAGGCGCCGTTGGTGTAAACGCTCAAGTGGGCATTTGATGCATCGGGGCTGATGCCATCATTGAGTTGCAGGAGGGTTGTCGGTCGCCTATTGCTGCGCCTTCGCAACTGGCGCAAGCGAACCATGCCAACAGAATCATTCGATCCTGCGGCCAGCTTGAACGGGGGCATCTTGTCGTGAGACGCTCTGCGCGATGCGATGGGCAGAGACAAGTTGCCTCTGGTCGTCGTGGTTACAGACGACGATGGAGATGCCATTTCTGCACTCCAGCCATCGTCCGCGGCGATGTTCCAGTCCTCCTCCTCGTTGATGTTCGGCTTGCTTGCGCTTCTTCCGATAGGCCCACTCATCATCTCATCAAGGTCCCATTCGCTATCCCATTGCCAGTTGGCTCCGAAATCTTTGGAAAACTGCGGAACTTTGGTAGTTTTCTCACGAAGCAAGAGATTTCGCACAGATTCTAGCGCTTTGCGAAGCTTCGGTCGGGCTAGACGGTCGTAGTAATCCGTGACTTTTGGAAGAGATACAAAATAGACTCCGAGAAGTAGGTATAAGCTAATGATTTGCATTTCTGGCTGTTATTGTACTGGGGTTGTTTTGGCTGTGCACGAGGTTTATGGCTTATTTATTGAACATTTAACATGTGTGCGGTCCACTTTATAAATAACGTCTTTAGGAGCGTTGGTCAGCAAAATTCTCGTCTACATTGACTAAAAATAAAGCTATTTTTGCCGAGCTCTATGCAGCCAGCAAGCACACTCCAATTCAGGATATAAAAGGCATTCCACATCTGTTATAAATTTAACAATTAGAGGTTCATTTATGCAAATAATTGCTCATATTTCGTATTTATTTTTGGTGTTCATTGAAGGCTACTTTTTTGCTTGGCAGTACAGCAAAGACAGTCTAGAAGCATGATTCAAGCAAATCGATAGAATAGAAGATGTAAGTAGTAAAGTTACTATGTCCTAGTGAGTAATGTATAGAGCTGATTCAGAATCTCACAAGTAAAGGATCTCCATGATTTGGCTGAAATAAAAAACTTATGGAAATCTTCCGAACCAAGGTACAGGATGTGACTAAGGTTGTAGTTAATCACTTATTATATCGGTTCGTATTCTGTAAAGTATGGACTCCTATTGTGCTGATGTCTGTCACATGA